CCCTAAACCCCTAAACGCTCAAACCCCGAAACCCTAAAGCTGTCCCATGTAGCTAAGATCCCTGCGGCCTTGCTCCCTGCACACCCCATTTTCTGGGTTGCTGTTAAGGAACTTAAATTAAGTTACTGTATTATCCCCCTATCATGGAGAATCAAAGGGAAAAGAAAATGGAAAATGAAATGGAAACTGGGGGAATATAGGGATTTACGGAACTTAAATTGAGTTACTATACTGGGGAAACCCTATTATCTACTATATATACCCATTGTGGTAACTTAATTTAAGTTCCTGAACAGCAACCCCATTTTCTCTTCACCTAAACCCTAAGCCCCGTTCCCCAGTTCATTTTCCCATCTTCTCTTCCATTATGATTCTAAAACCCCCTAGAACCGCCTACACTCTAAACCCCAAACCCTAAATCCTACACATCCCAACCTATGCCCTCAAACCCTACCCCACTAACCCTCTAAAACCCTAAACCCTAAACCCTATTCCCCGCCAACCCCCTGAAAACAATCAACCCCCTAGTTTATTGGTGGCTATGCCAGTGCCTTGATCTCGTGCTTCAGAGCTTTAGAAGGCACGGTGAACTTCTTGCCGTTCGTGTCCGGCCCTACGTACTTCATCCTCAGTTCGCTGCTAACGTTTTGGTGTTTCGGTTTTAGAGGGGCTAGGGCTTGAGCGGTTGGGGCTTTAGGGGTTTAGAGGTCAAGGGTTTAGGGTTCGGAGAAATGACTCACAAGAACGAAGAATTGAATGGAGAATACAATGCAAGGTGAGATGTGAACTTTGGTTTATCTAGGGCTTTGTAGGGGGTGTTGCTGTTAGAGAACGTAGTTTAAGTTGCCATAGTACGTATGGGTTTCCAAGAATTAGAACCCCTTTTGGGAGTCTCTTTTCAGGATTCTGGTGATTTTGGGGTCTAAATTGGGGGCCGTCCATTTCTGGAAACTGCCGTATAGACAAACTTGAATCAAGCTACCGCAATGGAGAGTGAACTGGGAAAGAACATGGAAGATGAAA